TGGGCCGCCTTAGGTCTCTCCCCAGCCAGGACAAAATGCCCTTTATCTTAACATTCCTAATACTTCGATCCCTATGGCTGGGGCCTTGGATATGCTGATCTAACTGTGCATACATCTTTCAACTAGCACAGAAAGGAACAAACATTAATGAATGCCTGTGCATTTCTAAATATTATCTCTGACCCTTCCAAACACCTGGCAAAGGAGGGGTTGTGCCCATTTTATAGATGGCAAACTGACACTTGGGGGGAGATGGAGGGGGTAGCCAATAACTAGCAGTCCCATCTCTAGTATGTGGGATCTGGGCTCAAATCAATCAACCACCAATCTCATCCAAAGAATATCCCTAAGGAGGCCCCCAAAGCAAGAAAAGTTCTTGGGGGTGGGGGGCAAAGAGTAAAAGTCTGACAAGCTTGCCTGTCAATTTTAATTGTGGCTTTTGGACCACTGCTGACCCATGGCAGAACAGAGTAAAGGCCCATAGTTCTGGTTGGAGGTGAGGCTCCAAAAGGCAGTATCTGAGGTTCAGAAGTTACAGACTCTGCTCTCCCACAACTAAGCTGTCAACTGCCAACCTGGCCCACCCCAAAGTTAATGGCAACCATAGCTACCACTGCACTCCTGGCCCAGAAGGCTCGTTTCTCAGCTCGGGGTAAAAGGCTGGGACCTGTGACCAAGGCCTGGGATGTCTGTTGCTGGGCAGTTTATAGAAGCTGCTGGTGGGCACTGGTCCCAGTGCATCCTGACCCCAGATCTGCCCCAAGACGCCCAAGCAGGAACCAAGCCCAGGGACTCAGGACCTGGAGTCATAGAAACCCAGTGCAAAGATCCAACGCACCAGCCAGGACTGTGGTTTTTCTGTGACTGGAGCTTAGAGCTGAGCTCCCCCAACTTTCTTTATCAAGAAAATGTAACTTTTATATCTTATTACAGAAGTAATACATGCTCAGTATCATTAAATATCGCAAATAAGTAGAGATTTAATTTTTTTTTCTAAAAATCTTACCCTTCAATCCCACTCCCTAGAAGATCCACTGCACATCTGTCTAGATTTTCCTTCATGGAAATCCACAAATGTTAAATGTATTTCTATACAAATGGGCTCTTGTTAACTTTACTGCTATACAATTGGATTTTAATTTAGAGTGTTATGAACAAATCAACATTTCCTTTTTAATGGCTGCACAGTATTCACTGGTGTGGTTGGACCATTCAAGTTTATCTAGATGCTCAGTTTTAAAATGAATCTCTGCTGGGGGTCCTGTGGTTTTAGACCAATTGCTGGTAGGCCCTCCAATTCTACTAGGGTTAACTATTTAGTAAAATCCCAGAAAGCAAGAATGAAGGTGCTTAATCTACTCTTTACCGTGTATGGCCAATAAGATCACTGGAAGGAGACGAGAAAGAGGACGGGAGTATGGCTTCACAGAAGTAGCTTTGCTGGCTGGGAACAAGGCTAACTCCTCCATTAATAATTCTGTTTCTACAGAAACAGCTTATTGAACATTCGTATCCATGGGAAGACTCAGTTGAATAATTCCAAACACCCTGATTCTTACCTTACCAGGTAAGGTCTGCCCTCTGACTCAACCTTCTAGGCTCATCTTTCAAATGCCACCTCCTCTAGAAGCCTCCCATCATCCTGGTTAGTTTCTCCCTTCTAAGAGTTCTAACAGCTCAGACTTGGAGTCAGAAAGGCTAAGGTGGACATCCATCTCTCCTCTACCAGCTGAGACCTTAGATGAATCTGTGGACCTCTCTGGGCCTCAGTTTCCTCATCTGTAAAATGGGAATCATAACGCAGCCCATTTCTTTGGGTTGTGCAAGGATCACATGCTTTACTACACGTAAAGGCAAAATAGGTGCTCAATTAACATTAGCAAAAACTATGACTGGACTGCAAATATAACCATTTCTTTCATCTTTACATGATGCTTGGTAACTTGTGGGTTCCAGAAAAGCAGAGACCTTGTTTTATCCATCCCAGCACCTCAAGCATGGTGCTTGGCATGCTTGCTGGGAATAGGTAAACATGGAGAAAGAGGCTGGGAAGTCAGCAGAGTGGCTCTGTCCAAAAGTGACCATCCACCTCCCAGGACCGTGCCTCCCCTCCAAGGCTCACTTAGATGCAGCAAGAACAGTTATTTGGGACAAGGAGCATTAGTGGGGCTTCCTGCTCCCCTGAAACATGAATTGGTAAACCAGCATCAGAAACTTGGAAAACAGTGATTTGCAAAGCTGTTGTGCTTCCAAGACTGAGGGGTAGTTTCAGCCATTAGCGTGTCAAGCGCAAGTGTCTTCTTTACAATGGAGGAAAGGAAACTTCCACGGAGCCATGTACTTTTCATTGTCAAGAACAAGAGCACTCCCTGCCCAGCCAGGTCTCCTCTGAGCAGTGTGAAGGCACAGTCAGGAGTGGCTCAACAGGATCCAGGAAACAGGAACGGAAGAGCCTCCGAGGCTTCCTTCTCAGGGTGGGGGCAGATGCCTGGACAGGCTGGGAGTGGGTCTGCTAACAATGGTCTTTATTACAACAGATTGTGAAACAAAGTTTTCTCCCTAGTGGGGCAGAGGGAGCGAGCTGGCAATCTGAGCATCTCACCACCCTGTGTCATAGCCCAGCCCCTGTGCGTGCAGGCAGGCAGGCAGGCAGGGCACGGCCCTCCCCAGTCTGCATCTCTAGCCCCTGTGACATCTTCCTCTTCAGAGGACAATGTGCTAAAACACAGTAACATCTGAGAGAAAGAGTGGTCGTGTTTTCAACTAGGGAAAAATGGAACTAGTACACAGTCAGAGGAGAGGCCTGAGCTGATCACTTTGCAGCAACCTGCCTCCAGTTTCTACTATTACTTCTAATTCCGGGACTTCTCTATCCGTGATGTGAAAGGAAGTCAACCATCCCCCCTCCACCTCCAACCACGGAAGAGGGGCTAGGACACTGGGCCCAAGCCCACCCATGAATGCTCTCTCTTCTCCCCCCTTTAATATCTCACACCAGAACACAAGCATATCCAAGGTGTCCTATTGGGCATTCGTGTGTCCCCATCCTCCACACATGTGCCAAGTGCCTGTGTCCTGGACTCAGGAGGTATGGGCACTTACAGGCAAGGCTACCAGAAAGACGGTTTGTAGAGTATATGTATCTGGATTATGCACATCATGCCCTATGCTTTTGTGAGTTAATTTAATGCTTCACTCCTCAGCTTCACAATTTGAGCTAAACTTACTGAAGTTCTCTAAGCATTTCCAGAGCCAAGACCCACCAAGGATGTCCACCAAAGGAAGCACAGTCCTCACTGTATAAAATGAATACTTCCTGCCCTCCAAGGAGAGGGAGAGCAGCCCAGGCCTCCGCTACTTCCTTGGCTTCTCATGGCTGGTAGGCCCATAGCTGGTGGGGATCACAATAACTCTTCAGATCCCCAGTACAGAGATGGGGTCAGGCTCAGAGAGGCTAAGGGACTCTGACAGGAGCAACCAGAGCCAGGACTCAATCCCAGCATTACTACTCTCCAGCATGGCCGCCTGGCTGAAAGAAACGATGCATTCTAAGGCCCACTCTCCACTATCCCTTTCCCTCATGTAAAATTCAATCAACTGAATCCAGCTCATTGACACCATGGAGTGAATGCAAGAACCTCAGGTATGGCTTCACCACTCTAGTTTGTGACAATATAGATACAACCGCCCTCTTCCTCCTCCTCACCTCCCACTTAAAAAAAAGTCAACACTTCATAACACCTCTTCCACTAATAACTTCCAAGGCAATGCAAATCAAATTGTCAGTGGGCAAGTGGGGTGAGAGCCTCTCCACCTTCCAGATCCAATGGCCTTGGGCCACGTAAAAAAGAGTTTGTCAATGGTAGATAAAACATCAGCTCACAGTCTTTAATGTATCTGAGGACACCTTCTGCAAGTTGCTACCAAGGGACAAAATTTCCCCACTCATGCTCAGGAATCTTGACCCTCCAAGGACCCCGCCTCCCCCCAATAATTTGGATTCAAGAATAAAGGACATGTAATAGTAAAGGGTCTGCAGTAACTGGGTCCTGCCAGGCCAGGACTAGCAGAGACATCTTCAGACCTATCTTCCCTAGATGAATACTTGAGTTCCCTGTGGCCCCACAGGGGAGTGGGTGGGCTAGGCCAGCAAGCTGAGCTCCCTTGACCTGCCTCCATTTCCTCTCCTCTCACACCAATCTGACGCTGGACCCTGGCCCTTCTCACCAGGAAGGAGGAACCCTAGAAGTACCTCAATCCACGCCGTAAGTATGCTGCTAACTACAGGCATGCCCACGCCAGACATACCCAACTTATCTTTCATCTCTCTCTGAGCTGTGCCAAGACATGGCCCCAGAATCCTTTAACTCCATGCCCAAGAGAGCCCTAAACAATTGACTGAAGCAGGCACATCATATGAAACATGCCTAGCTCTTCTCCATCTTTTCCCAAATGGGGAAACTGAGGCCTGGAGGGATGAAGCAACTTGCTCAAAGCCCTCCTAATTCCCAGACCAGAGGGCAGGGCTACTTCCCCCTCTAGAGGGGCTGATCCAACAGCACCATGAGCAATATCCCTCGTCCCTAAGAGGCTCCTAGGCCTTTCTCTTCACTGCCCTTTACGGCTGGGGATAAGACATCTACCCTTTTGCCACCAGCCCACGGCCCTCTGCCCGCCACCATCCTTCTCCACCTCACTTTCTGAAGTGAGCTTAGTTAGCTGCAAGCTCGCTTTCCCCTCTCCTCCCTGTCTCGCTGGCGTGCAGACAAGCCTGGCTCCCAGTGCAGCAGGCCTCAGCTGTCCGTAATTCCTGCCTTGTGAGGCTCCGTCAGGCGCAGCGATTAGACGGCTGCCTGCTTAATGACAGGGCGACGGCTGCATTCACTCAGAGCTGCAGAAGCAATTACCTTGAAAATGGGGGTCACAGGCCCCACTCATTGGCTTTAATTGAATTCCAATATCTGCCTGGAGCTGCCTTGACCTAACTTGTAGCTTCCTAAATACTACTTAAAGGAAGTGGAGCTAATCTACCCCAATTTCACTCTTTTTTTAGAACTTAAAAAAAAATTTTTTCATAAGAGGATTTTAATTCCAAAGAGGGAGACAGAGGGGGAGAGGGGAGGGGAGGGCTCATCCTAGAAAGGGGATGGAGATGAGGAAAGGAGCTGGAAGAGGAGGAATTTCAGGACAGAACTCACAATGTGCTTGCCACCTTCTACCATTGTCAGCAGCCATGACAGGTACTGGTCACTGAGACAAGGACGCAGGATGGGGGGCTGAGCCCTGGGCCGGGAGACGGCCCCTGGGCCTCTGCCTGACTTTGCTCCTGAACAGTGTGTGACCGTCTATGAATCACTTTTCCTCTCTGAAAAACAAGGGCCCTGGCTAGACAGAGTTGTGGCTCTCCCCCAGGAGCCATTCTGCCCCTCACAGGAAGGCACTCGGCAATGTCTAGAGACAGTGCTGGGTATCACAATATGTGTGGGGCTGCTACTGGCATCCAGTGGGTAGAGACCAGGACTGCTGCTGGACACCCTACAAATGCACAGCCCACCCACAAAGCACCTGGCCCCAACACTGGGTTAGGTGATCCTAAGACTTCAAACTTTATATTATGATACCTCCCCTGGGGGTGCTGCCTCCCAAAACTCAACGGCTAAAAACACTACTTGCTCACGGTTCCCTTTCTGGGTTCCCCTCTGCCCCTCCCACATAACACATGAGGGTATGCTCCTTCTCCGTCAATGTTACCAGGACCAATGTAACACTTTATGTCCTCCCCAGCAGCATACAGGAGCCGCCATGAAGCTCACACCAGAGTACAGGACCACGTAACCATCATGGGTCCCAATGGCGTGGTGGAGGGTTGGGACCCACATGCATTTCTGTCACTCTGACCTCGGCCTCCGGGCATTCCTGGCCCAGAGGGATAAGCTGCTACACCCCCCACCCCTTCCTTTTACAAATGCAGAAACTGAGGCCAGAGGAAGAGATGAGCCTGCCCAAGGTCACAGGGGAAGAGCCAAAACTAGAACACAAGTCTCCAGTTTCTGTCCCAAAATGAAAAGCCAATGGTCACCATCTACTCCATCAAGCAGAAAAGTTGGGGGCCTGCAGTTCCACCTTGAAATCATAACCTCACATTAAAAAAAAATGAAGGCCAACCAGACTGTCAGGGCTGAAGGGCCCTCAGCCAACCAGTTCACAGTTTCCCAAGCCTGATTATGCTTCAGAATGATCTGGAAAACTTCAGAAAAACAGACTCCCAGCCCAACCTCCAGACCTTCGGAAAAGAACTCTGTGGAGAATCCCTTGGAATCTATATTGTTCCAGAGACCCCTTGGGTACCCTGACCCAGCTGTCTGTGGATGAGAAGCAGTGATCTCACCCACCCCCTGCATTTTATCACTTTAGGGACAAAAGGTGAACAGGTACACCCCAAGGGTAAGAACCTTGACCAAAGTCACACTGAAAAGCTATTTTTTCTCAGATGCTTACCTTAAACATCCTTAGTCTCAACCAAAGTATCAAGCAAGAGAAAGACGCTATTTGCATCCAAGAAATACACTAAAGATTCAAGCCAGGTAGAAGTTGGGGAAAGATCTGGCTTCCTCCTTTCACTGAGGGGTCAAACCAGAAGTGGGCCTCGGAAAGAGCTCTGGGATATTTTTTCCTATTTCCTTGACCTAGAAGGTCAGGATGGCCTAAGTTCCCCAACTGGACTTCACAAGGGCCTGTGAGGATCGCTCAGCCTGGCAGCTGAGTGCATGGGACAGCAAGGCCCAACCCCAAATTCCATAGCACACTTCACCTCAACAGTACAGAGATAGTTCTGATCCCAGGTGGCCAAAGAAAGGCAGACCTTTGCCAGGGAGGGGGCACAGGGCAGACAGGCCCTTGGGGTGGAATGAGGAGGCTAGGGACCCCCATCTGTCAGCCTGGCCTTGAAAGTGGTCTCAGGGCCCATTCCCCTCACTGGTAGGGACACCAAAAGTTGAGGGAGGACAGGGATGATAAGGGTAGAGGTAGATTTGAGACATGCCTTTAATTCAGGGACTGGGAAGCAATCAGGGACTCAATGGGGAGAAAGCCCCAAATGGATCCAAGCCCATGAAATGCTTTGGGAGCCAGAGTCCTGGGGTCGCCATTCTTTGAGGCCAACTAAGATCAAAATCAATCTCTGATTATGATAAATGAGAGGAATAAAAGGGCTATACACACGGTGAGAGGCAGATTGGGGAGTCCACGTACCCCGATGATGGCATTCAGCTCCGTCATGGTGACCTGCTTGGCACGTTCCACAGCCTGCGCCACCTGTTGCTGGTGCTAGAGGAAACAGGGCAAGGGTTAACTGTGGCCACTTATGACAGGCAGTCACCAAACCCCAGCAGAAGGCAGAGGAGGTCCACTACACTGGCATAGGACACAGGTGGGATGGGGACAGGGCATTTTTACATTTTCCTTTCAATCCTTTTCAATGAGCATGTATTACTTTTGTAATCAAAACTTCCCATAAATTGTTTTAAATTAAAACATAAATGAACCAAAAGATGGATATTAGTCAACGGCCTCCCCTCCAGCACACATACAAAAAAACTTCCTTCCATGCATTTGAATAGGAGCTAGACATCAGATGACATTACTGAATGATTATTAATGTTCTAAATGCAGTAACGGCATTGGAGTCACGCAGGGGCCTGTCCACACTGTTAGGAGACGCAGCTGGAGCACTGAGTGGTGAGCTGTCAGGATTTAGAAGAAAAGTATGTGTACCTGAATATAGTCAAACCTGTTATCTATCTAAATAGAGAGAAAACAAAAATGTATGTCTAGATAGAAAGAGAAAGAAAAGTGGCAGAATGAACACAAACGTAAACAATGAGTCGACACTGGGTATGAAGATGTGTCCATGTTACCTTCATCAGCTGCAGCAAATGCACCACTCGGGTGGAGGCAGCTACGGGAAATCTCTGTACTTTCCACTCAGTTTTGCTATGAACCTAAACTACTCTAAAAAAAGAGTCTTTTTAAAAAAATCATTTTTCGCTGCATTCATTCCCTTCAGCACTGAGGTAGCACTAGCTTCATATGCAGCTATCTTCCCTACTGGGCTGCAAACTCAGAGGACATCGCTATATCTTGTTTTTAAAGGAAGTCAATAATTTACTGGTCACTACTCTCAGACCCAGGACTCCAGGAGTGAGCTGAGAAGGGCCCAACCACGGAGGGGCGTGGAGGGCAGGGCCTGCCTCAGTTGGAGTAAGCTCTGCTGGATGGAAACAGGCCTCTCAGGCAGCCCACCTGTCCGCCCTGCACCAAGGAGCCTCCTGGGAAACAGGAGCCTCTTCCTCAGATGGGGGCCCCTTACAAAACGGCCTAGAAGGTGATGTGACCGATAAGGCACGCCTTTCGAGAGTACACTGTCCTGAATGGTGGGGTTCCCTTTAGGTACTGGTTCCCTTCACAGGGTCTGTGTGTTGGCACTGACTGGCCAGGTTTCCTTGCTTCTAGACGGTTCCAGGTGTGGAAGTTGGGGCACAGTGAAGCAGAGGGTGAACTGGATGTGGCATGGGGGGCACAAAGGCACCCACTGTCCACTGCTACCTCAGTGGCAGGCCAGAACCCTCCTCCCTGATCTCAGGCAGTAGCAGAGAATCAGTCCTACCAGAAGAATAAGCACATTGTCCCTCTGATGTGGCTCCCGGCCCCTGAACCAGCTGGAGAAGACTGTAAAACCCCAGGTTGTCAACTTCAACTTCAGTCATGTGAGTGAATAGGGGCTGGGGCTCTGGTGACACCTAGCCAGCCAGTAGGCTACTTTGGAAAGAAAAGGAGGACACACCAAAAGGTCTTACCTCTTGTGACAGGAAAGGCATGATCTGTGCTAAAATTGTGTTCAGTCTCTTCGCAATCTCTGTCTGCAAAAGAAGAGAGACCTCATGAAGCTCAGGCAAATAAATCAAGGCACTGAGTGTCAGACAAGTCAAAGTGCCAACTCCCCCAAACCACAGACCCTCCGGCTGGCTCCATCTTTTCCACCCTCAGGAGCCTCTTTGCTAAATCACAGCAGGAAGAAATCTTCCAACTCCCTTCAACCAGGCTGCCTACATTTTGGGGAGCTCCAATTTCCTATCAGAGGTGGTCTATCTGTTTGGGTCAGAATCTGTTTGTCTCCTCTGGATGGAAGCCCTAATGAAAAACAAAGCAATACAAAACAAGAATGACCCCTCACACACACCCCACACACCCCAGTAACACCTATTACAATAGGGAAACACAATACAGTGAGGAACAGACTGCTATGCCCAGTGATCTGAATGGTAACAGGAAGACAGGCTCTCAAACAAATCAGGAGGTAGCGGAAGTCTCCAGGGGGCATGTGCCAAAGGGTCCCCTGGGGCCAGCTTCACAAAAGGTGATATGTGGCTTACAGGGTCTCCTGCACCCCCACTTTTCACTGTAGCCTTTCCCTTATATGTGCTGCCCAACCTGAAATTCCACCATTAACACTGCATTTTTTAGGATAAAGCATTGCCTTTCCTAGAAGCAGCTCAGGAGGTAACTCTTTAGATCCCTAAGGCTTCACTGAAGTTGACTGTAGAAAGGATGATTACTTCTCTGTCCCACCCTCTAACACTCCAGATAAGATCACATTTAGAAAAATATCAACTGGTTTTGCCACCCATGTGCTATGTGAACCCCACACTAGTTAAAAGAGAGTGGTGCTAAATGGTTAACTGAGCCCAGATGGGAAGGCCTACAGGCCTAAACCTAATAACTGACAAGTCTCACAATTGCTTTTCTTATCTCATTCTAAATCCTGAGGCCACCAGGACTGAGGTCCCAGAGCTGGCGTCAAAGCTCTCATCAGCACACAGCAATCTTCCAGAGACAAAACCATGACAACAGCCTTTAAAAATCTGTGATCATCTGCATGTCAAATGATTCTGGATGAGAAATCTTTGTGCACTTAAAATAAAAACAATGCTGTCTGCCAGCTTACAAACAGACCCTAGACCTCTGGACCTCCGGAGAATTACTGGGGCCAATACCCCCAATCCGGCCACTAAGGAGAACGCCTGTGGTTTGTGAATGGACAGGCCATCCACTAGGAACTGACAGGCTTTTGCAGCCCTGTGTGCTGGGGCTGCTGGCCACAGTGGCAGGCTCCAACACAGGAATCTGCTCACTACATCAGGGTCTCCAGGGTGGGGACCAGAGACTGCTACTCTTTCCTGGAACAATTCTCAGGAACAGAGTCAGGGTTTGTCACTGCGGGCATTTGGGGTGGAACAATTCTTTGTTGGGAAGAGCTGTCCCTTGCATCCCAGAGCAATTGAGTATCAATAATGGTCCCTACTTCCAAATTTCCAGAGGGGTGGGGGCGTATCATGGGACCCATAGCCACACTGGCACATTTGAGGCACACTCCAGCAAGGACATTTATACCAGGGCTCCTCAACCTCAGTGCTACTAACATTTGGATACTTCTTTGCAGTGTATGTGTGTGTGTTTGTGAGGGGGGGGGGTTCTGTGCATTGTAGGGTTTTTAGCAGCATCCCTGGCCTCCATCCGCTAGATACCTGTCATTCATATTGAAAGCAACCTGGGAAGACTACTAAGTAATTATTGTATAAATTATTAATCTAGGTAAGTGGGAAGAGTCAACTCCAAAATAGGGTTCTTTCTCATTTCTGTTCACTTTTTCCTCCCCCAAATCAACTGATAGGAGGGAAGGAGAATGAAGTATGAAAGTCAGGGTTGTATATGGCAGGAGTTCTAGAAACAATCAGCTAGTCTGCATCTCAGTCCAAAGTTTATGGAAACATGGGTCTCTCAAATGTCACATTCATGTGCCAAATAAGAATAGAAGATACATTAAAAACAAACAAAAATAAACTAGGTTCACTGCTTAGGAAGCTCATTGGTCCAAGGCCTCTTACCTCAAATAACTAGAATAACAGTGCCTAGCACATAGTAGGTGCTCAATAAATGTTTAGCCAGTAGAATCTTGCCGGCCTCTCTGCATTTATTTTTCATAGTGGAGTGTTCCCCTGGCCATTGACCTGGGCCTGCCCCGGTGTGGACAGCATCTGCAGGAGGGGCCGTGGTGGATGAACTGTTGACATACTACTGGGAAGTGGGGTAGGCAGCAGCCAAGCCCTTTGCCAACAGGGTAAAGGCCAGATGCACCACACGCCACCCCAGTGCGTCTCTGGCTGTGGCCCCTCCCCACAGCCAGCAAGGCAGGCAGCAGGTTCTGAAGCTTCCCACTCACTCTGGCCTTCTCAGCAGCTACAACTCTCACAATCTCTGGGGTAGGTGGTTATGAAAAGAGTTCCCAGCTATTACCTACTTCCTCCAGCAGATAGGCCAAGTGTCAGGGTCTTGGTAGTTACAGGACAAAGTAGCTGACCTTCTCCTTCCCCACACCCATTAGCAAACACGCAGTCACAGACTTCCCCTGTATGGGATCTTCACTCAGGGCCTGGTTGGAGCCTAGCATCCTCTCATTATGAGGAAAAGGGATCTGCCAAGATTTCAGGCTACCAGGTGACCGTGCAGCATCATCAGAGCAAGTTCCCTCTCGGACTCACCGTTCCACCCCTCTGAAAGCCGTTTCTGCCTCCTTCACCAGCCTCCCAACACCACAAACAGGGCCATCGAAACAGCTCCACACAGTTATGGAATGTTCTGGAGGCCTGGGTTCGGCATTCAGGCTCTGTCCGGCGCTTGACCTCGATGCCCTCACTGTGTGGCAGTTAGAACTCTGGTACTCCACAAGACAAGACTGCACAGGGCTGGGGCGGGCAGAGGAGAGGGCGTGGTCTTACACTTTGAGAGCTTTTATAGTAAACCTTCACTTCTCTGTTCTTAGGTCTGGGTTTTTTCTGGGCTGGGGAGAGCTGGGGGTGGAAAAGTATGCAAACCACATCACTCCTGGCTGTAACTGTGCCATCACCTACAACATGTTAGGAGCATTCCCTTCCTGGTCTCACTAAAAAGTGGAAGCAGGGACTGAGACTTGCCTGTCTCTGCACAGGCCACCCAACACTGAGAACAGCTCAGGATACTGGTAAGTCAAAGAATGAACGGGAATACTGTTCACTAAATGATTTTTTTCATGATTTGGTTTTTGTGGGGGTTTTTTGAGGATGGTGATAGCAAGAGGGAAAGCTACTGGAAAGAGAAAGTGGGCTGGACAGAACCACTCTTAATAAACGATAATAATAATGGCTGACATCGGCTGCCCCAGCTCTTCTAAGCGTTTTATGTGTGTAAGCTCACAATCACCCTACCAGGAAGGTGCTTATTAAAATCTCCATTTTTCAAATGGAGAAACTGACATTCAGCAATTAAGCAACTTCACTAAATGACTTCCTACCAAGAGCCAAATTTCCACATTTTGAAAGAGCTTAGAAAAGAATTTTTGAAAGAAAAACTACCATCAGGGTTAATAATCGGCAGCATTTCTGATTAGAGCAGCTGTTAAAACAGAATTTTATCCAACTCAAACAACAGTTCCAAGAAGGGAAGAAAACAAAATCGAGATGTGTGACTTCAACAATCGGGACAGTCACCAACCGCAAACTGGAAGGAGATTGTCGACTGCAAAACTCCTTTTGGCAGCTCAGGGCACTGTTATCACTAAGGCCGCCCTCCATCCTTCCCTCCATCTCAGTCCCGCCAAACCACCGCCTATGAGCCAGAGCCTCAGACATGAAGCTGAGAGGAGGGGTGCCTGTGGCAGAAAGACTGCTTCCTTTGGAAAAAGGTGTTTGGGGAGCCTGATGCTGCCTTTGAAAGTTTCTTTTCAAGTGTGGTTCAAAGACAGCTTTGCTGGTAGGAAAACAGTGTTGCTCAGAAGGAACTAATCTACTAGACACAGGCACTTCAGAGAAACGTGCACGGAGAACCTGCAAAATTCTGAATCTGAGCTCCCAACTGGGAGCTTGGAGTAACATCTGCCCTGTGTCTCTGTCGAGATTGTTAGACAAATAAATGAGGGGAACAAGATAGTGGGGGGCAAGTGTAATTTCCCAAAGAACAATCTGCTCAACATGCCTTAGGAGCTCCCATTTGCCCCATCATCTCCTCATTAAAGCAGGACCTCTAAGCATCTTGCTGTAAACTGAGGGTACTTGAGCATTCTAAAAGTATATTTTTCTCTCCCAGCATGCTAGCATCCACTTTGCTGCTGTTTACAATGCCTGGGCCTTTGACCCAGGACACTAAATTAAGGGAGATGGAATCTGCTAGTGGTCCTCACTCCCAGCAACCTGTTACCCCTGGCCTCACCACCCAGCCAGGCTTTGGCTTTTTTTTTTTTTAATTTAGTTGATTGCTCAAGGCACCACTGATAGCCACTTCCATTAGAGGTCTCTCCACTATTTAGTTTTATACTACCAGTCAGCTCTTGAGAATGCACACTTCTTTTTAACCTCAGCTGAATAGAAACAAGGAGAGAGAAACCTGCCACTTTAAAGAACATGTTATGACCCAAAGCCACACAGAAATTACCTGACCTCTATTCCCAGCTCTGTCTCCATCTAGCTGTGTGGCTTTGGGCAAATCACTTCCCTCCGTTGGGCTTCAATTTTGTTGTCTGCAAAATGGAGGATGAACTAGATAACTTATAAGATCCAGAAGTCACAATTTAAATAGTTTAGAATACTAAACATTCCTGAATTACTCTGTGACATGTCACTTCCTCTGTAAAGTTCAGTAAGACAAGTGCACGCATGACATGAGTTTGAAGGACGAGCAAAGCAGCAAGCCACCTTGACATGTGGATGGTTGGTACGTGGTGGGCTATGCTGCGGCTCGGTCCCAAGAACCATTCTTCATAGAAAGGAACCGTTCAAATGTGACCATCAGCAAAGCTGCACACAACTGTCAGAGCACTGATGTCCTAGAT